AAATAAAATTTTATTAGAAAATAAATTGTAAATCTAAATTATTTGAACAATTCATAAATAGAATTTTTTTGGGGGTTAACGCAGACGTACCATGAAATAGTCAAATAACTGTATAATATGTTTAAATATGTTTTAAACTTTTTGACACAAAATAAATTTTCAAATGTTTTAATTTATAATACGTTGAGCGTAACAAAACTTTGATGATAAATATTAACTTAAATTAATTTTATTTTTCTTTAATAAATTATCAATTGAACAACGTGGACCCAAATAAAACACGCCGAAAACGTCAAAATATGTACAAAATAAACATAAATCTAAAATTTATTTTTACACAAACAAATAAAGAAATTAGTCAAAGACTTGTTAATAATTTCAGTATTGTTATAGATTTAAAAAAAGATTTAACCACTTAGTCTACTGATTCGACTAATTTATTGTTTTCAGCACCTATCAAAATATAAAAAATGTTCTATTTTTTAATGGGGTTAAGGTTTTTAACTTTTTTTAAAATTTTGAAAACAGTGAATGAAAAACTCGTTGAATTGTTCTATTTCTTTGTGTTTGGCTTTATTTGATTGTGTACTCTCGAGTCCTTAATTCCAAGGAAGGGGGGCGTTTATTAATTTTGGGGAAACTTTGCCACCCACACTAAGCTTATTAAGACCCCCCTCCCGTTTATTAATTTTTACTTGTTTTAACAAAAAAATTATATCTAAAAACTAAAAAAAAATTAGTGAAAATCAGTCAAAAAATACATACTAGTTAATCAAAAAATACATACTAGTTACTGATAAGTAATAAAACTTTCAGTGTAAATTCTGACCCTCCCCTCCCCCGGTTCATTAAATCTTGACTAAACTCCTCCATCCACTTTTATTAACCCCATCCCTCTTGTATTAAGAAATTGAGATTACATAGATAAACAGATACGGAATTAACATAGATTAACAGTCATGGAAATTAACAATCATGGAAATTCTTATACGGATTATCTTATCTATCTATTTGTCTTAAACTTTTTAATAGATGTCTTAAATCGTTTTGTCTTTGAAATAAATTATCGCACTATTAATGTACCCAAATTTGACTATATGTTGCAAACTCAGAAATTTTACTTTTCAAAATTCATTTAAAACTTAGCATACTTCATATCGGTAAATTTACTGAAAAAATATTTTAATTATCGAATTTCAATTCAAACTTCAGAGTAAGCTGTGTGTGTATTGTTAACAAACAATTTTATACATAATTTGCCTTGGCTATTCCGTTCATAAATTAGACAAAATTGTCTAACTTACTTAACGAAGTGCACCAACGAGAAGGTAAGCCATAGGACTTTGCACTCCATCCGTGAGCTGTCATGTTGCCTAAGGTTAGCTCTCCATTTCTGGATTCTTTCCTTTACTTGATAGGCAGTTCATGTAAAAGTAATAGTAAATTAGCCTAAGGTTAGCCCTCCATTTCTGGATACTTTCCTTTACTTGATAGGCAGTTCATGTAAAAGTAATAGTATTTTTGCATAAGCCTTTTTTTTTTTTTTTTAAAATAATAATAATAATGTGCAGTTAAGCTGCAAATAAACAACAACAAATAAACAAAATTGGTGCAGATAAACATATCAGATATGATTCATACTATTTACAAAGATAAAACTCAAATGTAGTAAAAAAAACTATTGGAACAGAACAATAAAAGAAACAAGATTAATATATACTGTAACATAATTCTAAATTTACATTAAATAAAACCTCGCAATCCGCTACAATGAATAAGATCATCTTTTTCAAAATCTATTAATAAAGGAAATGACTTCATCAGGTTCATTATCATACTTAACAAGGTATGTAGTTCTTCTACCGTTTAATTAATCAATTTGAACCACTTGCGCACGTTCCCAAGATACTTTATGAGCATCTTCTTCTCTAACACGATGTTGTATAGACCTACAAAATCAGATGGATTGTTAATAAAACCTACAAAATCAGATGGATTGTTAATAAATTTTGATAAAGAGTGCTTTTTTTGTTGCTCTTTTAATTTGTTTAGTCTTGCATCCTGAATTTTTTCCATTAATTCTTTTTTTTTTGTTTTCAACAGCTGCATCACGCATTGTACGAGGCTTTAAATTATTACTTATATTATTACTTAAAGATTGTTTGTTTGGTGTTAAATTTGCTTGAATAACAATAAGAAGATTTTGATATAATTCCTCTAAAGACAAGTTTATTCTAATTCTCTAAAGACTCTAAAACCTCTAAAGACAGTTTATTCTTTTGCTTCCTTCTACCTTTGTTTTACAAAAAAGTTTTTTGTCACATTCGACACCTAAGATTATGCGATAAAAATTAAGTTGAGCTAGGAGTACTTTTGATTTCAATGGCTCTTCTATATCAAAAACTGTTTTCTCTGCTTCCTCTAATGATATCCAAGCCCTTACATTTAAATTTATCAAATCATTACAAGCTGGAACCTTTTTATGTTGTAGTTTAATTTCTTCTCGATTTTTTTCTTCTTGCTTTCTAGAAGGTGCACAGCTTTATCTTTTTTAAGAGCTTCTTTTCTTTCATCATATTTGCTTTTCATTAATGTTACTTTAGTTCTTGAATATTCAAGCAATTGTTTTCTTTCTTCATCTGATTTACCATTAAGCCATTCTAATGTTTGGTTCTGAGACCACATTGTCAAAGCCTGGATAGTTTAAACATTTGCATTGGGTTTTGTGCGAACCATTAAATCCAAAATAGCAAAGTCGCTTTCTGATGCTTTATTAGTGACAGGGAAATTAGAAGCAGCTTCAGAAACAGAATTAGATGGATTCCAATATTTACCACCTGGTAACTGATCAGCACACTGACGTTTTAAAATAACAAGAATCGCATGGAAAATAATTTCAAGTGATTGAACAGTTAAAGAATCAAACTCATCATTTTGAGTGCATTCAAACAGCTTGGTGTAAACCACATCTTGATGAAGAAGATTGGTATCCTCAAAAATTTTTCCATTAGCAAACAATAAAGAAGACGCATCGATACAAAGAGATGAAAGTCTAACTTTCAAGCGAAGTAGGTAGGAGTTTAAAAATAATATACTATCAAGTGATTCGATAATTCTCCACATTGGACCAGTAAGTAGTTTGTCAATAATACCTAATGCACGGACTTCAGCAATGAATACAAGATTTGTGATATCTTCCTTAATTGGTTTTAATAAATTATTAGGGTTAGGCCAAGCATTAAGAAATTCTGTTATAGAATCCTTATGATAGTATAGGGCAGCTGCATTGTAATACAAAATATTAAATCGATTTCCAATAAATGGAACAAAATAAGATTTATCGTTACGAGAGGAAAGAAAAGAAAATAAACCATGATGCAACACCAGCTTCCTCACTACCCCTTGAATGAAATGCCTTACATGTAGTACGAACTAACCGTACAGCACCACATTCTTTACCACTAAAAGCAAAAACAGTTTCAAAATCATTTTGAAGCAGAATTTTTTCAAAAGAATTTAAAACTTTATCAGTTTCAGAAGCAAAATTAGCGAGCAAATGAAGTTTACAGAAAAAATTACTCATGTCCTTCATATTGTCTTTGACGTTTGAGGAAAGAAAGTCCCAGTTACTAATTGCAATAGGCAAAAGATTTTCCCTTAATGTTTTTAACTGTGAGTTAAAAAGAGGATTAACCGAAGAAAGATCAGACATTGTTGATTTTATTGATGTTATTAGTTTAGCAAAATTAATTTCTTTTTCAGTGGCTGAGTTGCTAACAACGTCATAAATGTCATATACTATATTAGTAAAGTTTTGCAAAAGAGTTGCTGCATCTTTGCCAACCACTTCTGACAGACCAAAAGATAAAGTTTTCCCAGTTGTAGTAATTTGAAAGTTTTGATAATGCTTATGGTATTTCTGAGTACCATCACCATGCAAACAATTGCCTATTTTAGAGTTTTTATTTATCAAATTATTTTCAAGCATTGCTTCTGCAACTTGAAATTGACCTAAAATTGAAGCTTCCTGCATTAACCTACATTTTACAGCGGCTGATGGCAGTCTAGATATGTTCTTTTTGGCTAGTTTGTTTAAAACTACTTTTATGACTTCATTGACACTATTCATACTCACGTTCATTGAAAAAAGTTTCATTATTGTTTCTCGAATGTCATCACTGTATCTGCCATCTTCAAATGTAATTACTTCGTCATCATCCAGCAAAGAAACCAATTTTTGAAGTTCTAGATTCTCCTCTTTTAAAATGTTTGTCTTACTATATAACGAAACAACTTCCTTCTCTAAACTTATAACATCTTTCATATTGTTGTCATTAATATAGTTGGTTTTATTTTGCAAAATAATTTTTAAATTACTCACTTTTTTTTGCAGCTTTATTTTTTCGTTTTTTAATTCAGAAATGTTTATATCTGAGTTTTCAAGAATTGAATTAATATCTGTTATTTTATTTTTTAATTGCAATATTATTTTTTTTTCTTCATTTTTTAACAAATTTATTTTATTCTTTTTTATTTCCAGCTGAGTATCACGATATTTTCTTTTTTTATTCAAATTTCTAACATTAAATGATTCTTTTTTTGACTTTAATAGCTCTAATTTGTTTTCAATATTATTAAGCTTTTCTTTTTTTTCACAATTACACTTTTTAATAAAGTTTAATTCAGCTTCTATTAGAGAGTTTTTCGAAATAAGTATTTTTAGATTGTTTGACATATCTTCAAAATCTTATAGATGTGTAAAATAATCCATTTGTAAATCCATCATAGATTTCATTTTCCTTTTTAAAATTTTATTTTCTTTTTTAAGCATTTTGTTTTCGCTTATCAGTATTGTTTCTTTAGGAATTTCTGATGCACTCACTGTATTATCAGAAAAATTTGCCACAGGTGGAAAAAAGGCTTCACTTAATAACAATGCTAATTTTTTATTTTTTCGTTGTTTCTTTAATTTTCTGATGGTGTCAACTAATCTATTTATCTGGCTAAAGCTTTCTTGCAGCAGAACAGTTCAGCTTTAAAATCCAAACAATATCTACAATATATTGCATCATAAGATGTATCTTTTAAAGCCAAATACCAATCATAAATACTTTCATTTATCATTTTATCTAAAAAAATAAAGATTTTCCAGTCATCAATTCGAACAAATATATAAACATAAATATATTATTTCAAAGTCTTTTACTTATTTTATATATATATATATATATATATATATATATATATATATATATATATATATATATATATATATATATATATATATATATATATATATATATATATATATATATATATATATATATATAAACTTAAAAATTAGGTAAATTGTATAAAAAGAAAATTACTAAATTACAAATTAGACTTACTGATAAACTGCTGAGATTCAATTACTAATTGGTTAGCAACAACCACATTAACAACACAAAACAAACTCACTTTAGAATACCTTAAGTTAAAATTTACAATAAAATCTCAGCTATATAAAATATAGAATTCAACGTGTGCAAAAATCTTTTCTCAAGTAAAAGAGAAACGGCAAATTTACGAAAAATATCTAAAGACGGGGGAAATTATAATAATCTTTACTTAGAAACAAAAAACCCACCCTATTAGACTACAAAAAAAAAAAAAAAAAAAAAAAAAAAAACTTGTTCACTTAATAAATAAATAGTTGCAGAACTTATTTTTACGTGGGGACGAAAGAGTTATTTTAATTTACTTGCATTTTAACAAAACTGAAAGATTTAAAACTAAATAACTTTATCAATTCTAAACCAAAACGTCGTCCCTAAACAAATTATTGTAGTACAACCTTTTCTAAAAAAAATAACATCTACATGTACGTATATAATATTTATTTTCATGGGTGGGTTTTTATTCTTCAAAACCTACATAAAATCATTTCTGGCGTTTTTTGGACGAAGTTTTTCAAAAATATATTAACGATTTTTTTCCGCGATAAAATATCACGTGACAAAACTCCCTATTATTAATAAAATTTTATATCATATTATGTCAGAGAATTTACTTGATATTATCCTTAAACATGCTTCCTTTTTCCAAAGTGCGGAAAGCTCTAAATTAGAGTCACTAAAACACTTTAAAACAATTATAAATATTCCGTAATTTCTTTTGTTTTTAAATGTTTAACTTACGGAATGTGCCGAAAATCTCCTAACGTTGTGCTTACCCGGTGGGAAATCGGCTAGCGAATATCTAGCTGTAATCGTAACGATAAAGATAGCGATTTGGCCACGAGGATCGGCAGCTTTTTTAAGTTAGCAAAAAGCTATCGATATTTGTAAAGACAAAGACAGCAATTTGGCTACGAAGACAGTTAGCTTAATAAGCTTAAGACCCACAGGCTTTTGTAGCTAGCGTCATATCGTAATAAAATCGCAGTCTAAAAAATTTTAATATGCAGCTATCAACCTACTATAGATTTGTAGATATTTTGTAGCTAGCTACAAAGCTAGGATATGTAGGTAGCGACACATTGCTACAAAATCGCCAAGTTTAAAGTTTAATTATTTTCATAATTATAATAGAGTCAACACTAAAAATCGAATTTTTAAAGATGTTAAAGACATCAGGAAAAAAAACAATAAGAAAAAAAAAATCGCTACAAAATCGCTATAAAGCTAGCTAATCGCTCGCTAGTCGCTAGCTCATTTCCCAACGGGTATAAAAGTGGAACATTCTTTTACTTCATAACTAATTTTGTGTGTGGATAACTTTCACTTGTATAGTATTATAAATAAATATGAAAACGTACATTGTTTTTCCAACAGCTGCTTCTCTATACTGCTCTTTTACCATTCTATGAGGCAAAAATTTAAAATTTTATCACAGTTAACATAAAAGCATGGCCAGTTTTTTTCCATAAATAAAAAATCTTGAAGAATGCGTTCCATACGACGGATTTGAACTCGCGATTTTATTTTTGAACTCGCGCTATTATTTTTGCAATGGTGCTTGCGATTCCGCACTGCAATTAAGCACTGACCAAAAACTGGCCATGCTTTTATGTTTACTGTAATAAAATTTTAAATTTTTGCCTCATAGAATGGTAAAAGAGCAGTATAGAGAAGCAGCTGTTGGAAAAACAATGTACGTTTCTATATTTATTTATATTACTGTACAAGTGAAAGTTATCCACACACAAAATTAGTTATGAAGTAAAAGAATGTTCCACTTTTATACTTAGTTCTTAATAATAACTTTTATACTTAGTTCTTAATAAGAATTTCTTATCTGTTAAGAATAAATTTAATGTTGTATTATTTATTGTTGTATTATTATACTGTATTATATTTATTGTTATTTTTTATTGAAATAATTATATTACTTTTATTGTTTTTATTATGATTATTGATATTAGGATTATTATGTTTATTAAATCATTGCTACTTTTTATGTAGTAATTGTTTAAGTTATATGGTAGGTTTCTACGTTTTATTGTTAAATAACTGTTTCTAACTTTCCTGTCTGCATAATATTCAATTATTGTTTTAAAATTGATATTGGTTTATTATTATATAATTTTCTTATTATCCTAATAATTTTTAATTTACAAATTTAATTTTTACAAATTTATTTAGTTTTACAAATTATGATCATTATTATTATCATTAATATTTGTATTATTAATACTATTTCAAGGTATTTACTTAAGATTATTTTTTAAGTATTAGTAAATGACCTCAATTGTTACAATCTTACAATCATTACAAAAGATCTTACAATCATTGTAAGATCTTTTATTGGAAAAATATATTGATTGATATTGATATAGTTGTATATTTTTTTGAAACAATATCGTAAATTTTACAGAGGCAGCATCAGTTTTGGTTTGTTTTCTGCTGATCAAATTCAACAATTGTCAACTGTGCAATGCGTTACCAAAACTCTTTATTCTCAAGATGCGGCAAGAACACCTGTTCCTTATGGTGTCCTCGACAAAAAACTTGTAAGTGTTTATTACATATTTAATGAAGTTAAGGAAATCACATTTGTATTGTTTAATTAATTTTTTTAAAAAAATTTATTCAGCAATACAAATGTAAAATGAAAATTTTTACATTGCAATCTTATAAAAATTGAAGTGTTTTAAATTTGGAAATAATCTTAATAATATTATTTTCTGACAATATTATAATAATATATTATATTTATTATTAATATTAATATAGGTACGTGAGTAAAAATTTCAAATTATTTGAATACTATATTGTTATATATCATTAGAAAGAGGATTATTACAGTATTTTAAAGGTGAAAAAATTATCAAAATCGAACAATTGGTTCAAAAGTTATGACGGTTTAAGTACCGATTTTTCTATATATAGATTTGTTGAAGAAACTGTGGTCAAAATAATGTTTTTCTTCACTTAAATTGTCATAACTTTGTCAATTCTTATCAAAAAACAAATATCTTGGCATCAAAAGATAGGTGTAAGAGTGGGCTACAAATTTATGTTAAACTCTAACCGCCAAGCGTATCGGATGGACAGAGGGGGTACCAAACCACCACCTTGCCCGTGTGAAACTGAACACTTTTTTAGAAAAAAAGTTTTTTTTAAGAATTAAGGAATATAAACATACAAAAAAATTGTTTTAAATTTATACTAAACTAAAATATATGAGAGGTGTATGTTAGCAATAATAGTGTGTGTGGTGGTGATGGTTTGATACACCCTTGTATCAAAAACGACTTGATTTTATAAATATTTATCTTTACTAAAATGAGTAAAACTAGTATACAATATAAAATTATGTTATACAAGATCTTACGTATACAAGTGGTGTTTCTATTATGGGAGGGGCGTATGCCCCCCACCCCAAACCTAAAAAAAAAAAAGAAAAAATATGCAATTACTGTTTTCAAAATTTGAGTAAATTAAAAAAAAAAATTATGAAACTGGAAACAATTTAAAAAATAAATTCATACCAGACAACTACCAAATATGAGAGATGAATGTAAAACTCATAATAGATATGTTGATGATGTTTTAGTACTATAATATCAAAAACATTTTTAATTCTTGAAATATCTGAATGAATATTTAAAGTACAACAACAAAGAAGTAAAAAACATATTCCACTAGATTAAAATATACATTAGTGGTGCATCCATGGTCATAAGAGAGTGGAGTATAAGGAAGGGCTTATCCAAATATATCATAAGGGAAGGGGCATTAGAATGCCTCTAACCAAACCAATTGGATATATATTACTTAAAAAATTATACAACTACTATTGTGGGGCTATAATTATAAGTCAATTGGCTGTAAAAAACATGTCATCTTTATAACCAAGTATAGCAACTACCTATATTAAAGTCTTTCATGTGATTATTACATTAAAAGAAGTAAGGACCATACAGTATGGTTAACGAGCTAGCCATTCTGTTTGGTTAACAAACAAATTTCTGTTTCAAAATAAATAATAAATAAAATGTTAACATTAAAAAAAAAAAATTATAATTATTTTAAAAATAATTCAATATATTTTTGTCTTGGTTTTTAGTGAATGATTAATATGATTAATTCCAGTAATAAAACTATATTTTAATTATTTTTAACAATAGCCAGCACACGAAGGTAAGCCAGAGTCGTCTATCTAAAAAATTTAACAAATTACAACACTTGCTATATAATTTAGGCAAGTCACAACACTAGCTGTATTATTTATGCAAGTCACAACACTTAAAATACATTTTTGGCAAGTCACAACACTTGCTATATAATTTAGGCAAGTCACAACACTTGTGTTTTTAAATTCATTAAATTGTAACTCACCAGAAACAACATCAGCAGCATGCTGGGTCTTTTTCATGCAATAGTCAGCAGCTTCAATATCAGTTTCATCATCTTTCCAGTAAGAAATAGTGTAAATGAAGTCATTTTTTCTTTTATTAACTTTGCCACTTGATTTTTTGTCTTTGGCAAATCTCATCTCTTACTTTGCATCGATTCAGTCAATATGTAAATTTGTTTTTACGTGCTACATTAATTGACCATTTAACAATCTTTTCTCTTTTTGAAACAGTTTAATAAATTTATATTAAAATAACTTATTCATAAAGATATTCCTTAATAAATAAACTTTATTTATTAAGGAATATCTTTTCGAATAAGTTATTTAAAAGACAAGATTCTTTATTATAAAAACAACGTTCAAACTTCAAATTAGATATGTAACACCTTTAGTGTTTTATAATAAAGTAATAATGTTTAGTTAGCGTGTATCATTTAACTATACCATTGAAATTGTTAAAATTTACCAAACTTACAAATCGCCTGTCTGAATTCACCTAAAAGCCAATTTTAAATTACGAACTTTATTATAAAATTAAACTATAACACTAACATTGCAAAAAATAAGTTTAAATGACTAAATAACTAAAACAGTTTAAACTTTACTTGTTCTAAATTGTCTATAGAAAAAAACAACAATGACTCAATAAAAAGAAAGCAACAATTAGGAATACATAAATAAACAACTGTAAAAAAATTTTGTGGATAATAGTAATAAAGATGTTTAAATGAATACTGAAAGCAGATAACTAAATACTAAAATAATAAAGCGTAACAAAGAAACCGACTTATCCTCTCAAAAGCATCTTCTAAAAAACAATTGAAAAACTTTTAACAAAATAATACAAACATTTGTCTAGACTATATCTACTGATCTTAAGTTAAAAGAAACTAATGGGTATGGAATGTGTAAAATAACTAACTAATATTGTTGGCTGCCACCATTGGACTGCTTTGAGTTGCTAAAACAATATGACAAATGTTTTTCATTATTATGTTACATGTATTATACATAAAAGTTGAATAATTTCACTAACATATATAAGTTATATATGAACGTATTTTATTTAATAAATAAAGTACGATTCAACTGTAATAATATAAATAAAATAAATAAAATTCAACTGTAATAAATAATATAAACAATTTATATTATTTATTACAGTTGAAAGATTAACAGTCAATTATTAAAAAAAAAAAGATTACAACACTCTTACATTGTAATACAATGTAAGATAAAATATGTTATAATGTTAATGTCTTTAAACTTTAAAGTAACATTAAAATTCATTTAATTTAAATGAATTTTAATGTTTCCTTGTTTCCTTACTAAGTAAGGTAAGTAAACTAATGTTTCCTTACTAAGTAATTTAATACTTTAAAGTTCAAAGTATTAGAGTTTAATATATATTTTTTTAATTTTAATAAATAGGAAACAATATTGAAAACCTTTATCATTATTTTGACCTTCCATTTTATTTAATCTAAAAAAAAACTGAAAATGTTATTCGATCTAAATCAAATATAAAAAATGTTTGAATAGCCCCTCTGTCTCCCGCGCCCATTTCAGCAAAATGAGAATTAGGTACTAAAAGTGCGACAAAAAATAGACACCCTGCTACAACTTTTTTTTCAATGAAATTTTCCAGGTGCATAGATAAATGAAAAACTTAAATGAAAGAATAGTATAGAAAAATGAATGAGCATATCTTCAACATTAATTTCATGCCCAAAGTACAACAAAGTTTTAGACATCAAAAAACTCTATAAAAAAGCTATCTTGTAAAATAATAAACCTAACAGTAACAAAGTTTAACTATTCTAGTTTCTAAAAATAATCTATATTGATATCAAATTCTAAAAAGTTTTCCAACTAAACACGTCTTCCCTACGCTAGCTAAAAAGAATTCTAAAAAGCGTGGCACAGTTTTTTAGCACAAAAATCGGTTCCGTAAAACGCGGATTTCCACATACCTAATTAATATTAAATAATAAAGAGTTTGCCAAACAGCTATATTTTATAAAATTTTTTTTTGTTTGTTTTTTGTTTAAGTGCTAGCCAGGATTCATAGTTTTCTCACCTTTGAAATTTAAAAATATGATAGATATCCTATTTTATAAGTAACTTTTAGTATTGTGAGAAGTTCTCTATCTATTTTCCCAAAAAATGGTGGTGACTAACTCTTTTTTATCTGGTTCAGCAGATATGACTAGAAGAAGTTTTTCATTAACATAAATAATCAGAAAGCCATTGCCAACTATCTTTAAAAAATTTCATGCTTTTCTTTCAATTATAACTTGCTAGAAAAATGTGAAGGTTTGAGCACTTTTTTAAATTGATTTCTGACAAAAATCTGGCCTTTAATTATGGCCTGAGATAACTTAGAGAAAAAAAATTCCAGAAGTTTCCTAAAAGCAATTAGTTCCTGATTGAAAGCCTTCAAAAGTTACTTTATCAAGCCCAGCTTGATGTGTAGTGGCTGCATAAGCATGATATTTAGATCAAGTACTTCTTGTGTTCCACAAGATGTGCAGAGTTCTGACTTCAAGATGTGCAGAGTTCTGACTTCTAAATCTTTTTGCTGCTCTGAGTACTTTCTGTTAAAGTTGTCAACTATTTAAAAGAAGGTTTTTCTACTATTTAAAACAAACAGAAAGCATTCAAATGAAAAAAATATTTTTAAGCAAGAAAACCATCATCTTGTTGGATGCAGTGATTTTTCAAGACTATTAGTTGATTTGCAGAGCATCAAGATAGAGTTTTACATAAATTCAGGAATGTACTCTCATGGTCGTCCGGTGATACGAGATGACTCATTTTCACTGAAATTAAAAATGATGCCTATCAGTAGCCTGGCATGATGACCAGACAGTTTGTTACTTACAAAAAAGTGTTTATTATTAAAACCATATTTTGAATATAAAGATTTTCTTTCTTGCGATTATTTTAAAGAAACCTTTTAAAAGCATTTAAAGTAGTATACACTATGTTTAATAATGATTGCCCTGCAATGCATTATACAATTTTACTAAACATAATAAAAAAAGCCGACATGTGATTTAATATTTCAAAGTGCAATATAAAAACATAAGTAAAAGTTATTTAATTCAAACGGCTTTCAAAAAAGTTATTTTTTTTTTTCTTCTTAACAAAATCTTTCTACTTTTTGAGTGAATTAACTTAAATGATTCTTATATAAAGTTTTCGAGTGAATTAACTTAAATGATTCTTATATAAAGTTTATTAAGGAGATTGCTCTTTAAAGTTATCACTGTTTAAAGTCGTCACTTATAAAATAATTTTTTTTTTTTGTTGTTACTTTTTTTTATTTTACTTATAAAAAAATCTTATATAATTAATATTAAAATAAAATGAATTAAAATTTATACAACTTTCAATGATATTTTAATTCAAATTATTTGCTAATTTTTTTAAAACCGTTTTGCTAATACAAAAATATGTCAAAGTTACTTATTTTCAACATGATTAAAAACCTATTTTTAGCGCATTTGTTAAAAACTGTGGTTAAATTGTCAAAACAATATATTATTTGCATAGTTATATAAAGATTTGAAGTCACATGCCCTCCTGGCCAAGCCTGGGGTACACCCCTGATAGTGTGACTGAATAGCTTCAGTTATGTAAGCAACCTGGATTGAAATTTGACCAGGGCTGGGCTGGTCAAATTTGACCCCAACCCAGACTATATTTTGATAAACTTAGAACTGTTCCAATTAAGAAAATCAAAGTATTCCAATTAAAGAAACCGAGTTCCTTGATCGGAACAGAATGGTCGCTTGACAAAACTAAATTTACTTACAACCTATTAATGCAAACTGGTTAAATGAATAGAAGGGTATATAGAAAGGTTTAGTTAAATCATAATATTTTAGTTAAATCATAAATATTTTTATAATTAAACACCTGAAATTCCAAATATTTAATACTTAGATGTTCCTATATCTGCAACTCTCCCCTACTAAAATTTGTATAAAATATGTAATGACATTGTATGCTAGCTTATAAATAGATAGTAAACATATATGTTTATATCCATATATATTTATTATTATCTATTATTATATGCCAGTATTTAATAAATAGTAAATGTGCGCATAAATTTATAATGTATTATGATATTTTTCCCAGCCTCTATTATCAACCACTGGTAAATCTTATAATTATGCTGGGGCTGGGTTTGTAAAAAGTCCAATATTTAGCTGAGGCTGGGTCCCTGGTCATTTATTACTTGTAACATTCACTTCTTCTTTGACTAAGTCCTTATGCTTGGGATTTGGTCAGTCATTCTGTTGGTGGAATATTTAAATAATGCACAGAAAAACATTTTTTTCTTTACATTGTTTACTAATATCTTTATCTTATTAAGCTCTAATTTGTCCTTAAAGTATCTTTTTACAGAACTCTTAACAGTAATTAGGGGTTAAGCTTTTCAACTTGCTTCTCAAAGTACTTTCTGTTGGCTTACCAAAGCTTAAATGGAGAACATTTTGCGTCATTTTTCTCACTATATATTATATACCCTGACCCTAACCCTGACTGCACATATAACAGAAGAATTCAGTTCTATTATTTTTTAAGTATTTTAAGATAATAGCATTTTTGTTATATATATATATATATATATATATATATATATATATATATATATATATATATATATATATATATATATATATATATATATATATATATATATATATATATATATTTATATATATATATATATATATATATATATATATATATATATATATATATATATATATATATATATATATATATATATATATATATTATACAGAATACTTATTCAGAATCTAAACGATTTAAAAAAATTTGTTACAAGCCAGTAAAAAAAATCTTTTTATTACATAGTGCAGTTTCATATAATATGTTCAACATAACACAAGGTTTTAAAAATAGTTATATTTAGTTGAGTCAGGGCCATGTGTCACTAATGATGTATAACAAACTAATAATAATCTAATTGAAATTTTGTTATAATATTTTAATTATTTTTTTGATATAATCTTTATACTATTTTCACAGTTTATGACTTTGTTTTATTAAAGTTGTTTTATATTTAATATTGAATATTTTGTTAATATAGTTTTGTACAACTTTAATGTTTTAAAAAATGGATACTTTTATGATGTAGGGCATCAGTGGAAAAGACAAAGTTTGTGATACCTGTGGTAAAACTCTTGTTGATTGTGTGGGTCACTATGGTTATATTGATTTAGAACTTCCTGTCTTCCACATTGGTTATTTTCGTTCTACAATTGTTATTCTCCAACAAATTTGTAAAGTAAATGTTTAATTAAATTTTTTGTTTAAAACATCTTTGTCTTGTTGCTGTATTATTAAGTTATGTATAATATCACTACTCACTCCTTGAAATTTTTGGTAATATATTATTATTATAACTACAATACTATATGAAGAGCTTCCATACAAAACCAGACAAATTCAATGTTTACAAGATTGTGTACTGTTAATAACAGATAATGATTTTCATTAGCTTATAATAATTTTATTATTTATAATAATTTATAATATTTAAAAATTTATAATAATTTATAATAATTAAAATAATTTTCAAGCAAAAACAAGCTTTATCTTATTGTAATTACATAGACAAGTTACTAATATTGTGTAAAAGCAGACGATTCCTATTTAGCATTTCATGCAAAGTCAAATAAATCTAACAACCAATCAAGTTGATAAAAATTAACCGTGTGATGTTTATAACTTACGAAACTGAAAATTTTTGATAATGACTACTAGCAGCATTTTGCATTGTTTTAATTTTTAAATAGTTGCAAATCAGTTATTAATAATTTAGACCTGTTATAATGCAAATTAAGTATGAAGATGTAGACGATTTAGAGTTATTTGAAGGATGTAGTAACCGCTCTAGAAAGTAAAAGATTGTTAAAACAAAGCAATCAATTGCAAATGAAAAAAGGTAATTTTACCGGCCCATAGTGATGTTTGTCAAAACATCACTATGGTCAAAACATCGAAATATCGATGTTTGTCAAAACAGCTATTTTGACAAACATCGGTTCATAACTTTTGAATGAAAAGTTCTATGGAGTTATATAATTAAAGACTTTTCAGAAAAATTTTTGTGTGTGAATTTTGAAAAAAATTCTTTTACTGGTTTTTACTAAATTTTTTTTTACTGCAACATAGTTTGCTGCAGTAAAGTTTTTAAGTTGTGATAATTTGGAAGAACAAAATAATTAAAATTTCATAAAAATTGCTTTTTTATTGGTTATAATTAAAATATGTGTAAATGCATATAAATATTTATATTTTCTAATACAAAAATAGCATATTAATGACAAAAGTAGTACTAAAATTCATCATTTATTCATATGTTAACATTTCAAAATGTGTCATCTTCAGATCAAACATTGTTAGAGACATTTAGTTTATGACAACATTTATTAGAATGTGTTCTTTCATTACAAAATTTGCAAAATTTTTGGCTTAAACTTGTATTTCTCACCACAAATAATTGGATCATTGGATATCCACATTTGGTTAATGGTGTCTGTTAAATTGACAAGAGTTTTTTCTTAAGAGACGGTATGTATCGTTCTGACAATTTCAGAGTCAGATCCTCATTATTCAAAATTATCTCCCAAGAATGACCAATTAGTTTGTGCAGTGACGGTGTTATAATGATCCATGGTCCGGGTGAGTTTGTTTTTGTAACAGGCAGAAACTCACTAACTAGGAATATATAAAAATTTGTACAATAACTTATATATTGATCCACATAATTTTTTTTTTTTTAAGGAAAATACTAGAAGAATTTCTAAGAGTATTGATCTGAACCTATGAAATATTGTATGATATTGAACAGGCAATTGTGAAATAATTAAATCTTTATTTTATTTTTTGTACAATAGTTCTCTAGCTATATTACCTATTGTTGTTGTTTCTCATTTCCAGTCGTATTAGGGTAGTCCCATTTTATACCTGTTTTTTTCTTAAAATCTCTGTTTATAATCCAAAATACCAGCTTTCATGAAATGGTCAAATGTGCGCAGTAAAGCATGAAAAACCTATAAAAATATCAGTAAATTTTAAAATGTAATAATTTTTAATATCAAGTATGTTCACATATTATGAATATAGAATAATACGAACACTCTTACAAGGTCTGTATCACAGGTTGGAATTTTAAAAGGTTTGTCAAGATGTTGTAATGAAATCATTTTTTTTTAAGTAAAGAACAGTCTTCTTCTTCAAATTGATTAAATATTTTATTTATAGTTATATTGTCTCGATTGATTACAAAACCATTTTTAATTCTTTTAATATCCAAGCGTTGATCTTTTGTGCATATGCACAGATCACAATATGCACCTCCAACCCCTAAATAAAGATTTGTTGTTTTCATATCCATCATATATGACTGCACTATTACCTTAACATTAAATTATTTTCCCTCTTTATTCATAAGAAAACCTTTATTTTTTAACTCTTCAATGTCAGAATTAAAGACAGACAACAATTGAAGAGTTTCTCTTGATTCTTTTCCCATTTGAAAACTCAGCACTCTGTGACCCAGTTTTTGACTTTTGTAACAATATTAACAAACCTACTTCTACTATAGAGATGGTGTTTTGATAAAAATACTCATTTTGGGTAGTTGTTAAATGTATCTGGCTACTGTCTTGTAGATGGCCTCCTAGACAAAGACTTAAGGGTAAACAGATTTTATCTGTTGACCAGCCTTGCACCCCTTCTTAATCTATTAGGCTGATGTAGATGTATTTATAATACATTGTTTTCAATTTAGGATGTTGAATGCTGGATCTTCTTGACTCAATGCGTATTTTTTGCTTGTGTTTATGACTAGGCAACTCATTCTATTATCTCCTAATGAAGGTACAGCTCTAAAACTTAGTTTTATGGTTTTAAAGCTGGCTGGTAGTCAGGTTTTTTGAACTCTGTAGTAGTTCTTAAAGAAGCTGAATCCTTCAACATCTGTAAAATATCAGAGTAATACCAGTGCCATATTGTGCATATTTCTTCAAAAAATCATTGCCATTGCCAAATTCTCTAAATCTATCATTCACTAATATTTGTGGTCTTCAAAGTAACTTTTTTTGTTGTTGAGTCTTATCTTATGCAAAGTTCACCAGACCTACTTGCTCTTGTGAGACTAATTTGAAGTCAGCTGTCTATCTTGTGATCGTAGTGTTAATGGTTATCTTCTTTTAATTTGTAAAGACTCCAATAGTCACATGCTTGGCCTGGGCATTTACATTCATAAGAGTTCACCCGTTTGTTGGGAAACTATTATTGAATCCACAGACACATATTCTTTTATGTGCTTTTGTTTCGCACTACTTTACTCTATCGCCTTTCTTTTTGTTCTATATTGCTCTCCTTCATCTCAAGACTGCACTCTTCTTGATGTTATTTCTAATCAAATTGATCAAGATTTCTCTCTTTATCCATCAGTTAATATCTCTCATCTTGAATTTAATAATTTACTTTCTGATCATCTGTTGATTTGTTAACGGTAATAACCAATAGGTTTTCTTGCGCATTAGATAGATATGGAGAGTCTAAGATTTTTGCTTTTAGCGTTTCTAAAGCTTTTAATAAAGTTTGGCATTCTGCTCTTCTCCATAAGCTCTATTCTTAGGGTGTACCAGATGACATCTTTAAGATTATTAAATCCTTTATTACCAATCGTAGTATAAAAGTTGTCCTCAATGGACAGCAATCTTCTTCATATCCTGTAACTTTAGCAGTTCCTCAAGGTTCTATTCTTGGCCCTATACTTTTTTTTCTTGATTCATATAATTTGCAATCTTTTAAGTTGTTATCTTGCTTTATAAACTTCGTCTTTTCTCTTCCAGTAACTTCCAACTCTAATAATGTTAAAAAAAAAAAAAAAAAAATATGAGTATACAATCTGTTATATTTGCAGAAATAGTTTTTAGAAATAGTTTTATTTTCTTCAGCAATAAAAATTTCAAATAAGTGAAATCAGTGAGCTTCATTTTAATTAAACTAAAAAAATAAATACTTTTGTTGATTGATTATCTAATAACTTTTTAAACAAAACAATTTAAACTTAAAGAAATTTGAAATATAAACAAGTTTACGTGCTGTGTAAAAATTCTATTTCTATATTTGCAATTTGTTTATTTTAAAACAGATATATATGCTGTAATATTTATAAACTAAAAAAAATACTTGTTCATTCGTATGAGTCAAAAGGAAAGTGCGTTATTATTGTAAGTGGAAAGAAAGATTGTAACACAAGTATAAACAATTATGAGTCACTGTTGAAAGCAAAGCCATTTCATTCAAAGGTGAAGTCAAAACAAGGGACAGGTTCCCGACCTTTGTCAACTTCAAAACTTTTGGGCATTAAAAACCTCCTTAAAGTGATATTTGATGAAAGCTGGGAAAGTGTTCAGTTAGCTTTTTACAAGACAAACAATGAGTCTATTATTGATACTGATAATCCTAAAAATGACTGCAACTGCTGTACTAACAATGATTTAGCGTGTTCTTAGCAAAAATTTGGTAAACCAAATTTTTGCTAAGAACACTTTGCTGTTGCACAAAGTCCACAAAGTGGACTCTGTGCAACAGCATTCACCAGTTATTATGGTCAAGAGTACACTTCAGGGGAAATAAAGTTAAAGCTGTAGTGATATCAAAAGTAAACAATACTGTGTATTAATAGTCATTGTAATTGTGCATTTTGTTATACAAACTTTTTTACCGTTATATATGCTAAGAAAATATATTGCAGCATTTTCTCAGCATATTATATATGCTGAGAAAATGCTGCAAAACCAGACAATCCCTATTTTAGTGCAAATACAGACTAATACAAATTCCTCAAATACCAAGTTTTTTTAAGGAGATTTGTTATGTTCTGTGAACCATGATCCTTGTTGATGTATGCTATATTAGTGACATTAGAATATTGCCAGCATAAATCAAGGATTTAAAATTATTAAGATATGTTAAAGTTTTTAAATATGGATTAGTCTGGTTTTGTGTGGTAGCTCTTCATATTATCTTTATCCATTTTCATTATTATAATTTTTTTATTGCATTTTTAAGTGGATAACACTGATTGTAAATCCTAAAAAATAAAAATGGTTACTCTTATAACTCCTCCTCCGTTTATGTTGTTGTTATTTCACTTTTTATTCAAAAATATATTCTGATTTTTTTTGAATTCTTGTTTTCAATCTAGAATTGCAGTCGCATTTTACTAAATGAAGAAGATAGAACTACATATATTAAAGCTTTGAGGCGGCCAGGGTTAACAAGTCTTCAAAGAAAAACACTTCATAAAAAGATTATTATGAAATGCAAAAAAGTAACAACTTGTTTTTATTGCAATGACAGAAACGGTTAGTGTGTTCTTTGTGTTTTTTCTTTCAATTTATTGTTTTGACTACTTAAATGAGTTTACCTTTTGAATAAATGAAAGCAATAAACATGTTGCATAATATTTATTTAATGTATGCATTATATTTATAACATATTTGAGTGCACTTGCAAAAAGTTTTAAAAATTATGTTTTTTAATCTTGTTAAACTCATCTTTCCATAAAACTTTTAAATTGAGATTTTTGTTTAAGAGTTATTAGTTATAGAAAATTTTACCACCTTTTGGGGGGTACCACAAAGTTTCATTTTAGGTAGGCTTCGGTCGGAATAGTGAATTTGCCTCTACACCTGTGTAAGTCAGTTTACATAAACAAAAAAAGCTAGTGAAAATATACATTTTTTTTTTTAAACAGCAAAGTTTGAGTTGTATTTTACTTGCATAAACAAACGTAAAAAACATCTTGCATAAACAAACATAAAAAGCATTTTGCTCAATTAAAAATAGAATATTGCTTTAATATTTAGGTAAATATACAATAATTAAAAAAAAGCAAAAAAATGTTTTTTCAATGTTATGTTTTTGTTAAGTTAAAAGTTAAAAGGCTTTTTTTCAATCTTTTGACAAATTTTTATTTTTTATAAAATAAAAATTTTGTTGTACGAGTTAAGTTGTGTAACTTATACCAAAAAAAATGTTTCCATTATAAAACATTGTTGGACAAATGTTGTATGACATTTCTATAAATATTGAAAATCCTGCTTTAATCAAAGTAAAATAATAGGCGCTTATTCAAAACTTGAATTAAATCTTAATTAAACTTGTTTGTTTAAATTTAAACTACCTGACACAATTTTAAAAGTATTGAACTTATTCAATTTTTAATTAGAAAATTTTAATTAGATAAGCTTTTTCTTATACTTACTTGCTTTCTTGCTTGAAGCTATTTCAGTGCAATTTTTCAACTTTTTAAATCAAAAAAAAAAATGTTTCACAAAAAAAAAAAACAGTAGCAAAAAAACTTAGAAATTTGTAAATAAAAAGAAAATGTGAAAATAAGCAATAACGTGACACAAAATAAAATATAAAATAATTATTTTTTTCAATAAAAATGTAATTTAAATATATACTTAAATAGTGTTTAAAAAATTTGGTCGAATGCAATGTTTTTTTCAAATGCAATTTTTCTTGAAAATGTTACAGTTTTAGAATAAATAAATATCAGACAAACAACTGTTGTCTGATATTTATTCTAAAATTGTAAAAATACAAAACAAATATAAATATAAAAATTTCTGTAGATTTTCTTCAGAATGTAGAAAAAAGTAAAAATTGGTAAAAGGCCATGTTTGGATAAAATTTGAAAGGCCTATATGGGAATCTCGCATGATTGCTGGGGTCGCCATGCCCCTGCGTGCAATATTTATTATAATAAATTTGATATTCTTATATTGATGTCAAAATTAGCATCTGATAAGTCTTTTAATGGTATCCTTTTTTGTTTTGACAATTTGCAAAATTTAAATGTAGTTAGACCTACTTTAGTAGGTTGAGCCTTTTTTATGTTGTTGCAAAGTTGCTATTACAAAGTTGCCATTACTTCTACCATTACTGTTGTCATAGTTGTTTAAATAAGCATTGTTTGTTCCTACCTACCAAAATCTTGCAAAGCAAAAAAAAGTTGCATCCATTTTATTTTTGTTTTGCTCAAAAAGCTATTTTATATCTGTTAATACTTTGTTTCTTTTGTCTTGTTTTTTATTATGCACTTTGTGCATAATAAAAAATTTCTTGTAAACACTTAAAAAAATTAAAATAGTGATTTTCCAAAGCTCTGTTAGAAATAAGTTTTCAAATTTAAAGAATGTTTTTTAACTATAAAAAAAATCAATTGTCATATATTGTTGATGCTAAGTTAATAGTTATCAAGTAAAATATTAGATAAATTGGTATTATTAAAAAATATTAATTTAGGTAATGTTAAAAAACTTGGAATGATGAAGATTCTTCATGAAAAATACAAAACTACTCGAAAAGTTGATGATGGTATTATTACTGATTTCAAAAATTCTTTTAATGAAGCAATTGTTTACAACAAAGAGCTTGACGGAATTACTTCAAAAATGAATCTTGTGTTAAATCCACTTAAAGTCTTCCATATCTTTCAAAATATTACTGATGAGGTAACCTATAATACAATATATTATATATATATATATATATATATATATATATATATATATATATATATATATATATATATATATATATATATATATATGTATATATATATATATATATGTATAAATATGTATATATATATATATGTATATATATGTATATATATATATATATGTATATATATATATATATGTATATATATATGTATATATATATATATATATATATATATATATATATATATATATATATATATATATATATGTATATATATATGTATATATATATATATATATATATATAAATATATGTATATATATATATATATATATATATATATATATATATATATATATATATATATATATATATATATATATATATGTATATATATACATATATAGAAGATATCTTTATAAATGCTTAAAAGTGTGTATATTTATATATTTTTATTTTAATTTACCTCCTGAAGGCCGAGAAGACCACTACAGACGAGGAGGCTGCTTATTTGTGGTAACAACTGTCTCTCAACTCTAAAACTCCGAAACACGAATCTTGATGAACGAGGCTGCTGCGCGGAGAAACAAGTTGAGCGCGGTACTACCAGGGACGTGGTGGGAATCGAACTCGGAACGGAATATATATACATATACATATGTACATATATATATGTATATATATATATGTGTATATATATATATATATATATATATATTATATATATATGTATATATATATATATATATATATATATATATATATATATATATATATATATATATATATATCAGGGCGCGACAAATTGTTTTTTTGTGCCGTTGAAGCTCTGAAAGTTAGCATAATCTCTAACAAGACATTTATACTTGCCAATTCAAGTTCATTTACCAGCAAGATATCTTTATAAATGCTTAAAAGTAAATTTGTCATTAGTTTAGAGACTTTCTCCCTGAATAAAGGCCACTGCAGTACACATAAGTTAGAAGTTTCTCTGCTTATCATATTATTGTTCTTATAAAAATTGCAAACACTTTTTAATCCATTAAATTCCCATTTTTTTATTAATGGCTCTTGATTGAAATCACAGCGGAATTGCTTGTCTATATGTATTATTTTGCTTCGTCAACAATTTTAATAAAATATTTTTTATTATAATAATCAAAATAATCATTTGGTTGTTGTCTAACAAACTCGTCAATTCTCTTTAAATTACTCTTTTTTAATGCTGTTAAATCAACACCTTTGAAGATTTACTGATCTTCTTTTACTTCTAAATTATCTAGTAAACGTCCATTCATTCCAAACGTTAATTCAAGCCTGGATTAACTGATAATGCGTCTAGTACAATCAACTTTACGCAAAATCTCACAAATTAAAATTTCTTCTTTTTGAAACTCCAATGGTAATGTTGTTAGTGATATAACAATATCTTGAATAAAATGTAATATCTTGAATAAAATAAAGATAGTAGCTAACCAACAAAGATTTTTCAATCTCCCAAGCTGTTTAAGCTCTTCATCTAAAAAAGAAGCTATTTCTTTCAGTTCCTTTCTTCGCTGCAATGAATAATAGTAAAAACGAAACAAACTATTGGTGTTGTCATCAAACTTCTTCAAATAAATATCAAACTTTATTGAGTCTAACACAGAAAGTTCTAATCTATGCGCCACGCAGTAGGTATATACTATACTGGTTGTTTTTTTTTCGCATTTTAGTTTGAACACTAGCTTTATTGCCAGACATTACAGATGCACCATCAAAGTTAACATTTACAGTTTTTGCATAGATATTGTTTAAATATAAATCTTGATTTATTTTGTCAGTTGTTAAACTTTTTAAAACAAATTCTATTGCATTTAATATACCATCGGCATCAACTGTCAGTGGTGAGTTAATACCAGCAAATATAGTTGTAGGATAACCATTTTCAACAAACCTTAAAAAAGCTGTTTCTTGTTCACTAATACTCTTATCAGTGGAACCGTCAGATAAAATTGCAATAAAATAATTCGTAAAATTTATTTACTAAAAAAAAATGTATAAACTTGAAAAAATTAAAATATAAGAAGCTAAAAATAAAACTTTTTAAAACTTATAGAAATAAGCATTTAGTAGATAAATAACTTGATAAAAATATCATTATTGGCGTTGTTAAATACACAATAAAAAATAAAAACTATAATAAACATAATAATTCTACATATTCTATTAGATTATATATATTTCAGTAAAACCTAAAAACTTTAAAACTTTAAAGTTGTGTTTTTAATATGCAAACAAACATTTCTTCACTTTAAGGAAAGTAAGAAAAAGCAAGCTTCAGAAGAAAGCAATCAATTTAAGCATGGTTTCTTTTAAAGTAATCGCAAATGCATTCATTTTAAGTAAAATTTTGCATATTATTGTTAATGCATGCAAAAACTATGCTAAAACATTATTACTTTCTTTGATAGAGTACTTGGTTATTTTACTTAAAAGTAACTATTATTAAAAGTAACTGCTATTGAATAATGTATTCATTCTTTATTATGTTTTCTTTAAAAGTCTTTAAAATACGTTTTAAATTTAGCTAATTGTTTTTTATTATAAATATTTGCTTTTTATAATAAATAAAAGCTATTAATCAGATAATTATTTGGAATTTGCTGAAGTAATGTGTTTGTTTTGAAAAATTCTAAGCAAATGCCAACGTTTGCATAAGTAAAAGTGAAGGAAAGCTGATGTTCATTTTACTTTTTAATGTCTTTTTTTTAAGGTTTGTAGGTTTGTTGATTTGTCGCGCCCTGTGTAGAACTACAATTTAATCGAAAAAGATTTATGCAGTTTTTATATTATAAGTGACTCTAATTTGAAATTAAAAAAACTACAAGTGCATGCAAGCATTACTTACAATCAATCTTCCTGTTAAAAAATAACATTTGACTTTAACTAGTACACATGACTGGCAGTTTTGGCAATTTTCAGAAGATAAATGGAATAGGGACTAATATTCTCTACTTGCTATAAGCATAAACTAAGAATTTGCAAATTATATACTTGAGTTGTATCTTTACAAATTCACTTAATTTGAAATCTTGTGTTGGAGGAATTTTATATAATAATTAATGCCTCATAAGGTAAAAGATCTGAGTTTGATCCTCACCATGTCCCTGGTAGTACTGCACTCAACTTGTTTCTCCGTGCAGCGACCTTGTTTGTTAAGGTTTGTGTTTTGGAGTTATAGACTTAGGAGAATGTTGTAACCACAACTAAAAGTAGCCTCCTTGACTGTAGCGGCCTCGATGGCCTTGGGAAGATGAATTAAAATAAAGAATAATTAAACTGATACTATTAAGTAATACTTTTTCTCTTCTCTAAAAAAAGTGATTCCCCTGCATATTTAAATTCTCTACTTCATGCAAATTAATCCTTGTTAAACTCTTCATTTGTTTCCAAAAAGGAGACTTCCAATAACCTGTTCCAAGTTGAATTAAAAAATATGAAAATAATGTAAACTTTTAGGGAAACTAAAAAAATTTGCATTTTCCGTATCAATTTTTTGTTAATGGTTCAAAAATTTTTTCTTCAAAAAAAAATTATTAAACCATTAACAAAAATTTACTACGGGGAAAAATGGAGTTTTTTTAGTTTTCTGAAAGTTTACATAGTTGGACTTCTTCCCTTTTAACATTCACCGATTTATATGTTTTAACTCATCACAATAGCAGTTTAATGATATAGTTTTGTTAAAAATCATTTTATAAATAAAAATTTATTCTTTTTTAATTCAACTTGGAACAGGCTATTGGCCTTAAATCTACATTCTATTACCTCTTGGAGTGAAATGCAAATTTGAAAGTCGATATCAAATTATATAAACTAGTTTTGCAAAAATAAATAATTGATCAGGCTTTCTCAGGAAAGGCGTGCGGTGGCACACCTTGAATGACCACGCAAGTATTTTTTTTTTGTTGATAACTTGGCCAGGATTTTTTTTGTATAAATCAAAAATGACGCGATTTAAAAACGGGTTGAAAAACAAAACTAGTTTGTTATATTATTTTAATTTTATTAATATTACTTTATTATTATAGTTATTAATTAGAAAATAAAAACATTAAAATGACATATATACAAGCCTTCGCAGGAAATTATTATTATAGTTAGGAAAATATTATTATAGTTATTAATTAGAAAATAAAAACATTAGAATAACATATATGCAAGCCTTCGCATGAAAGGCACGTCGTTTTTCGTCTCGTACGACCACGAAAACGTTTTTTAATTTAGACAACTTGATTATGGCCGTTTGCACAAGTTTTTATATATATGTGTTACTGAAAAAAGTTTTAAATTTAAAAACTACATAAGAAATTCAAGTAAACTTAAATAGAAAACAAAAATAATAGTTTAAATAATTTGTGTTGTTTTTACTTAGTAGTTATTATTATCGGCAACAAAATTCATTAAGTTGAAGCAAAAAAAAAAAACAAAAAAAAATGGTTTTAAGCATTAAAAAGGATGACTTTCCTATATTTTATGTGTTTTTTATTTTAAAGAAGAAAGAAAAATATGTGTCATAATCTGTTTGTAAAATATATTTGTATAATTATAATGTAACAAGTATATATCAAGGGCTAAATTATACGATCGCCATTTGCAAACTCTGGTAAATTATTTGGTCTTTAAAATTTTAATTCATGCAAAGCTGTGTACTTTGTTTGCAAGGAGCAAATTATTAAAAGTTTGCTAGCGAGAAAGTTACAAAAAACAACAAAAACAATGAACTTACGACTACAAAAGTAATAACACTTTAGTCACTAACTGCATTATAAAAGTAATAAAACTATAATAGTGTTATTACATTTATAAAGCACTTATTACTTATAAAGTTCATTCTTTGTTTAAACAAAATTATTAATTCCAAACATTTATTAAAGTAGAAAAGCATCTAGAAAAAATAAAGCGGATATTCAAATATTATTAAAAATTTCAGGAATTTTAACAGATCACTTAAGCAACGTTA